GAGTTAAAAGACATTAATATATACATAACCACACTCCAGGCTTAAGAGCTCATTGAGATGAAAAGAGCAGTTCATGGCACTAAATGTCTCCTTTCAGAGCCCACAGACTCCAGGCAGGCATTAATTAAGCTCCTTTTACTCCTGTTTCCCTTTAGCTGGAGAATATTACCTACCATCTCCAGTTCAATATATCTTCCTAGGTGACTCAGCCCTCTTTCAGCACGGGCTTTTAATCTGGTTTAGCAACCCTGCTATCAGCTCCTTCAGCAGCACCGAGAGGGCAGAGGAGGACAGGCAGGACCAGGAATCGGCTGCAGGAGCACCAAAAATCAGATCATCTACAACCCTCCTGCTGCAGGAGAAAGCCCCAGTCCTTCCCCCCCAATCCCATCTCCCACCCACGGGCTGGAGAGCATCTTTCTCTCGCCTACCAGTCTTTTATCTGGAGCAGGGGCCTCAACTCGTTAGTGGGCTGAGCGGCGCAACCTGGGTCCCAAATTATAAAAGGCAGTGAAACGCAGCTTTTGTGCTGTTGGGGCAGCTCTTTGCCATGCTGAGCTGGCTGGAGGTGTACAGGCACTGCTGCCAGGGGAACATTCAGATACCTCAAGAGCTTCTCTAAGGATGTGCTGGCTGCTCCTCATGAGACCCTGCTGCTAAAACAGGGTCTTCAGCCAGGGGTGGTGGGTGAGTTGTATATGTATGCAGAGGGGGAAAGAGAAGATGGCATCTCCTACAGCCTGGCCTAAGACCTCTTGGGGTGAAATGAGTGTGAAGGGCTCAAATCCTACTTGGCTGTTAAAGAAAAACAAAATTTGTGCCTGTTAAATTCATGCCGATGGGCTCCCCTTAACATTCCTTCGCCTGTTGTGCCAGGCTAGTGTGAGAGGAGAAGGTAGCTGTAAATACAAGCTCATAAATAATATGTAAAACTATATTAGCGTATAAAAATGCATATATATATATATGCAAACCCATGTGCAGATAATTGGCACCGAGGCTCATCCCGCAGCCTGGCTGCAGGCTCCTAGCACGCCGTGCCTGTGAAGAACAGGGAGCTCGGTCCTTCTGCAAGCTCAGCTTTGAAGGCTTGAGGGCAATCCAGGAGATTTCACCGCGGTCCCAGAAGGTGGAACTGGGGATGAGATGCTTTTCCTTGGATGTGAAGGACTTGAGCTGCTGCAGCTCTCGGGATGTTCTGGTCCCTGGGAGGCTGTCGCGTGAATGAGCCTAGGAGGTATTGGGGAAGGTACCCAGGAGTGATGCAATTACCCAAATTTTTGTTTCCCTGGCAAAAAATTAACAGTAACATCCCTGCCTTTCTAATCTCTACCTCTTCCCTTTCCAGAAAATGCGTAAAATAGGCTAATCTTACCTATTTCTGCAGCCAGACAGCATCGTGCTCATTTCCAAAATACGTCCCTGAAATGTTTTAGCTTGAAATTGTTCATTTGTCATTATTTTTCCTGAGTCTGATAACAGCGGCCGAGGGGAGGTGACCAAGCCTGGCAGCTGGGTTTTCTAGCTGCCTTCTCCCCCAGGATTAATCCAGCTGGGTACAACCCTTGACGCATCTTTTCCTCCCTGCATGTAAGCGGGGGGGGGGAAAAAAAATGCCACAAAAAGCTGTATTCCCTTCCTGCGGCAGCCTGCTTGCACGGAACGCCAAAGAAATACGAAGTTTGAAGACTTCAGCTCCTGCATCAAGTCTGATTGAAGTTGGCCAATTAAGCTCAAACAGCGATGGAGGGGAACTAAGAGTGAGACAGCTCTCTCGGGAAGGTGGGGGAGGAAAAAGGGGATGAGAAAAAAACCCCACGTCTTTTGCTGGCTGGAAGCAGTATTTAATATCTCGCGTTTCTACAGGCACGGCCAGGGAGCAGCTGATGCTGTTAATAAAACTCGTGTTTGCGGGGAGCAGCTTTCCCAGCAGCAGCTGAAGCCATCCCAGATAAAACAGCAAAATTGAGTGGACTCGATATTCGCCTCCCCGGGGATCCGTGTGGGCTGTGGGTTTGCTCCAGCCTGGGCTCTTTGAAAGCTCGCTCCTAAATAAATCCCTTTTTATCTGCGTGCAACAGCTGCCCCTTTTGCCCAGCTTGCGGGGACTCCAAAGGCTTCAGCTTTGTGCGTGAAAGGGTTTTATCTGACTGCAGGGTCGAGCGGCTCTTACCATTCCTTTAATCTGACTTTTTTTTAGGGGATTTTGTAGTGTTACGGCTCCTATTTGCTCTGGGAAATGTTCAGGTGGGCTTGTGCCCTTACTTTGCCTGGCAGCAAACATCCCAGCCCAGCGTCCTCAGGGCCGGGTTCTGCAGTCAGGTCTATTTTTTTTTATTAAACCTGGTGATTTTTAAGTCACGGCTGGAGCTGCCTTTGACTCCCGTATCCCAGCGCGATGAATAGGGCGGCTTGAATGGGGCTTGATTCCGCTTGAATGGGGCTTGATGCCCCCTACGCCGGCGACAGCTTCGCCCCAGGAGGCAGCCTCAGCAAAAGCAAGCGGCTAACGAGGCTCTGCCCATTTAACCTCTCCCGTCTGCCCTTTCCCCTGCCAAACTCACGCTCCTTTTGCTGGATCACTAAACTTGGATGCTTGGCTGCATCCGCAGGGGATGGTGGACCACGAGCAAAGCTTCAAGCCAAGCATCCCTCCTCGCCCAGGGATGTGGATCGGCATCACCGCCGGGAAACGCGATTGCCCCGGCCTGATGCTCATCCTCACCTCCAGCGGCGGGGGGAGGAAAAGGTCCTTCTCACCTGCGATCTCGTTTTCTTCCAGGTTGATGGTTTCCAGGGCGGTGACGGCGGTCAGGGGCTCGGGGAAACGCCGAAACCTGTTGCGGGAGAGGTCGATGGCGCGGAGGTGCGGCAGGGAGGTGAGCTCCTCGGGCAGGCGGTGCAGGTAGTTGCCTGCCAGGTTGAGCTCTGGGGGGAAGAGAGGAGGGAGGTGGTG